TATTACCTTTCACTTCAACTAGAGCTTCACTGCTGCTTCCACTAGGCAAGAAAATCCAAAATGTCAGGGAGGTGACAACTGAAGCACAGACAGCTGGAATGTCCTACCAGGGAAAAACAACAATCAGTCATTAAAGGAAGATTTATTAATTTCATTTTTTAAATGGACTTAAGCAGCTCAGTGCCCAACACCAACATCAATCCCAAAAGGAGTCCAAACTTCAGCAACTCCACAGAGGATAGAGAGCCCTGCTCTGGGAATGCCAAATACACAGACCCAAAGGTAACTCCAGCACTGTTCACAGGGAAATGAGCTCTTGTCACCTTTTAGAGCTGCAAAAAGGATGCCCTGGTCCAGGGGTAATTCTACTTACCACTTCCCCATCTCCAGTCAGAAAACAAAGGCATTACAACCAGTTTCTTCCAAAAAATATCCTTTATTGTTTTGGTTGTAAATATAAAAAAATGCATTGCACAATTTAACAGACCTACTGAAAAGTGCTACATATCAACAGCACAACAGAAGTTGTCATGCAACAGAACAGGAAACCTAAGCAAAGCAAGAGCACAACCTGAAGTCCTCATACCTTCAAGCTTTTTTTTTTTTTTTCTTTTTTCTCAGGAAGAATGAATTCCATTCACTTGAAACACATTTAAATACAAGGTTAGAAGAAGAAAACAATCTATTTATTCATCGTATTGTTAAAAGGCTTGCTCATAACATTGGTATCTGTTGATTGAAAACCTTATTCACGTTGGAAAAGTTCAGATATAAAAAGTTTGGACAATGGCTAGAAATTAATTCCATTTTATACCTAAAGTGTATACTGAAGTTACTGTAATTGTAACTGAAGAACTCAAGTTTTACAGATAAAGCTACAGTTTGGTTCTACCACTTCTGCTCTAACACAGTAAATGAGCAGAAAATCCAACCAAGAATGAAACAAAAAACCCCAAGAGCTTTAACTGATGTTGTGGGAAAAATATTGGGGTCCTATAAAAGAAAAAAAAAAAAAAACGAAAACAAATCATCTCCTCTGAAACTCGTGTGTGTAAATTGAGGAGTAATAGAAAAACTCCTGATGTCTCACCTAATTTAAAAAACCTCCTAAAAGTTATCAACAATTGTCCATAGTCCTCCAGACTGGTGTAAAGAACCTGAACTGGATGTTATCAGCCTTTTGATTTTTGGTGGTTTTCCATGCAATAAAAGTGTAAAGGAACCAAAAAATAGAAAGAAAAAGGAGAAAACAGTGAAAAACCCGTTCAGTTTTCAGCAGTACCTTCTAGATGGCAACATCAAGGCAAGAATTATCCACTCTAGAAACTGAGAAAGTGAAACAGCCTTCAAATAAGCTTTATCTTTCTGAACATTTCTGCAGTGAGCTTCCCTTTCCTGTTCTCAAACTGCTTTTCAGGAGTTTTGCGCCTTAAAATCAACCAAAACTAAATTTGCCTGCCCCTGTCCTTTCTACCACATCTGAACACTAACATACTTACACAGAAATTTAAAAAAACCCTGAAGATACAAAGAGATGGAGTTTTTCAATACATTTGACAGCCCTTTGTCTTTTCAAGCCATTTCAGATTTTTAGAGGTTTAAGGCCTTGCCTGTTTCCTAGGTTTGTCAGAGATTATGTCCATGTGTGCACACGTGTTCCTGCACATGGCAGTGGGGAGGGGGAGGATTCAGCAGGGAAGATGCAATTTTTTCCAAACATAGACACAGTTACTCACAACCTCAGTCTGAAAGGGTCACAGTAATGCCACACAGATAAAATCCCCTAAAAAGCCAGGGAAGCCCCACTTCCTCCATTCGCTGAATTTTCCACAGAGCATCATTTTAGGGTGAACAGTGGATGACTTATGGTTAATCAAATGCATACACGACACCAAGAGCTAAGGCACAGATGGAAACATTCTAGTAGCCCCCCCCTCCTTCAAGAAAGCCTTTCCTAGGGGTCTAGAAAAGCATGGAAGAACATTCCAGTCAGTTCAAATGGTATTCACCAAGAATCCTTTGGTTTTGTGCAGAGATCAGACTGTCATGGTGAAGTGTGCACTGGTCTCTGATCCTACTCCTCAGTAATTCCTTCAATTCTAGTTTGCTCCTGTTCCTTCATCCCTTACTGCTCCTCCTAAAAGCAGGCCAGTAACTACAATACAAGCTAATTATTACACCAGATAATGCCCAAGTTCTCCAGAACTTGTGTTTGGGGTGGGATCATCTACAATATACCAATTAATACCATTTGAGGTCAGGAGGAAATCCAGCAGACAATCCCAGTTTGACTTTGTGCATATCACAGGCCATAAATAAGTTATTTAGCCACTCCTTTACTGAGTGAAATATGTTGGATTTGACAGAATACAACTTGTATTCAGTTATATGGGGGTTCTCCAAAAGTTTAGCACCAGACAGATGTGCAGCACCTGCAATTCTGTGCAGACTATAGGCACTGTGTGTTTGGCTTGCTTACTCTGGTGACACTGAGGAAATCAATCCTTAAATTACAGGAGAAAGTGTTACCAAACTTTGAAAAAAATGAAGTATTTAAACTCCTCCACGGTAAGAAAGACGGACTAAGGTGTTTAAACATAAATCAAAATGGAAAACTATGCAGGAACTAATACATACGTGGTCCATCTCTCTCCATACCAATCTTTAGTGGTTTTACTGTTCAGATGTTAGCCATAAACCAGCTTTTTTCCTCCTGTGTTTCCAAATGAAGTGAAATCACTCTCCTCACAAGGCTGACTGATAAAAGAATTCTGATCTGCAATAACAGGGTGACAAGAATATATTGAATCACTGCTTCAAAGAGCAGCCACGTAATTTCTGGTAATTGCACTAGTGGAAAGTCTCTTTTCACTTTTCCTTTCCTCCCTCCTACACTCTAGCCTAAGTAAGCAATATTTTCTCTTTAAGATATACAGTTTTTTAATAGTGCTTTGAGTTTGTTTCTGCACCACAATTTGTTAAACAAGCACTTTCCCTCCAATTGTAACCAGTTCATGGTGCAATCTGATGGATGAGTTTTGCATCCACATCAAAACTTTGAATGAACAAAGTTTTTGGCAGTTCAGGTAAATTATCCCCCCTGTTACTTTGCTTTCATTTTCCAATTCATTCAGTGACATATGGGATGTTAGGGTTTCAGTTCTCAGATCTCCCTGGGCCCTGAAGGATGACTGTACTGCACTGTGCTTGTTGGGACAAAACTCCCACGTCATCAATACCAGAAATGGTAAAAATCACACACCATCACTGCTGACAAGCAGGAGATCACACTGCAGGGGAGGCATCACAGGATCTCCTCATCTGAAAAGGTCAGCAAAACCACCAGCTCCTGGACAATATACCTGCTGCTGTCTTGCTGGAAACCCAGACGTGTTGTTAACACACAAATAGTGAGATCAGCCCACTGAGGAAAAGACATAAGGGACATCCCCAGCTCATCACAGTGTAAAATGATTTCACTGGAGTCAAATTCATAACTTTAGTGATAAAAATGGGAGGATTAAAAGCACTGATTAAAAAAAAAGGATTTACTTATTCAACACTTGTTACCCAGATGTATCCAAAAGAATATTGTTTAATTTAATTCAACATTATGAAATATCTAGGAATGGATCTCTCCAGAAAATCTACTCACTATTTAATTACTATGACAACCTTTGCACACCATTCCTTGGCTGAGACTTGGAATTTTGTGGCTTCTGTCACAGGACACAGGTTTTCACATGTGCCACGAACTTCAAATTATATGTCAAATCTACTGTAAAAAAACAGAAAGAAAAGCATTTCCCCCTCTGCCTGCACAGCTACAGGAAGCTGTGTTGGTATAAAATGTGCCATTCTGCCTTCCCCTTCAGCCCTCAGTCCCTCCGTGCAGGGAGAGGCTCACCTTTAGTGCCTTGTCCTTGCTACAGTGCTGCTCTCACAGAAGGAACTCTGCAAGGAAAGCCATTAACTGCAAAAACTAAAAAAAAAGGACAAAGGGGAAACAAGAACAAAACCATCATCTGTGCTCAGCCCTGCTACCCAGTCCTGTTGTTTTTCCTTCCAAAGTGGAGGAGCTTGGGGACAATGCTTAAGAAAAGCTCCTTTCCCCAAGGAGAACCTACTGAGCCCATTTCAGAGTGTGCAATCCCAAAGTGTTCCAGTTATTCCTCATTTTCCCCACTGTGAGAGGCTGCACAGCACCTCCAGCCTGCTCTTGGAACTGGAAGAACTCTGCTCAAGGGAAATGCTCCCACGTTTGCATAGCTCTGAACAATCAGGATCAAGTTGTGAGTGGAATTACAAGGGTCATGGGATCATTCCAACTATGAACAATCAGCTGGAATGAACATCCCAGTGCTGTCTCAGGATGGAAATCGCTGCTGGAAAGGGACTCAGTTCACCTGCAGCAGAGCACAGTACGTGCTGAGATTGTCACAGAAAAATATCATGCTGTATTTTGAGTTTTCAACTTATTTTAACATGTTTTATATTTCATGCTGAACATAAGCTTCCCATATAGATCAGGCCTAGCAAAGTCCTTCAGGTTTTTCAGACAGAATGCAAAAAGAAGAAGCAAAAAAAGACAAAGAAGCAAAGAACTGACTGCAAGTCTGTGTGGTTTGATACAGCTTCTGAGATAATAAAAAAAGCCGATTTTTTAACATTACAAACTCAATTCTTGTCTCTGAAGTGCTACTACATTTACCTATGGATGTGTTTTATATGTGCACATTTTGTGAGGATGGCAGCTGAACTGTGCAGAGTGCAAGAAAATAGCTCATTGATTAAATGGATATAAAATTCATGTATTTATCCTAATTGCAGAATTTATACAACCTAATTTATATAATCTAAAAGTGCTTTCTTGCACTTACTGCACAGCCTGCTACTCCCTTGCAATGGCTATATAAAAAAAATAAAAATCAGCTACTTTATTTACTAGAAAATAAAGCACGTCTTGAAACTGATCAAATGCAATGATACACTCATTAAAATAAAATACACAAAACACAGCCTGAGAATTTAATTATAGTATTTTTGCCACGAGTTGACATCACTGACAGATTTTTCTTCTCCTTTGGTTTTTCATATGATCCTGTTTAACAATTTTCACTATTCAAGTAAAACACATGGAACTGAATACCAGAAAACAAAAGAAAAAGCACATTTTGCTTCATGAAATCAGAAGTATTTTTTCCCCTTGAACAGCACATTCCTTGGTGTACAGGATTTACACTTCAGAGAACTGAGGGTGTTTCATTAGTTGCATAAGGATGCATTGATGGAGATCTATTGCTGCCTGCAGGGCTCAAACCTGCTAAGTTTACCTGAGCTTGGTGGTTTGTTTTTTTTTCTCACGTGACAAGAGCACAGCACAGCACTGGAGAGGAACCCAAACGTTCTGACAACGCTGCATCACCTGCACCTCTGAGCAAGGCAGGGCCAGTGCCCTGAACAATGTCTCTGGTGATGGAGAGAATCCTTTGTAAAGTGCACTGACTGGAGGAGCCTGGGCAGGCAGGGCCTGGCGGGTTCTCCACCCCTGGGACCAGCAGCACCTCAGTGTCTTTGGCCCTTAGGTGTCCCCAGCTCTCTTGTTCACCTTGGCCACGGCCTCCCGTGCCTGCTCCGGCAGCCGCGATGGGTCCGACAGGATCGAGGTGCTCCTGCTCAGGTGCCACAGGGTGTTCAGCACCACTGCACAAAAAAAAAATAAAAAGGCAAGAAAGCATCAGGAAAAGTTATTAATGTGACTGATCTTTCTGCTGCAAAAGAGAGCACTCCTTGACAGCTATAAACGTAAATTAAATACTTGCTGAAAGGTAAGAGCATTGATGCCCAAAGAGAAGGTCACTACAAAGATGAATACAAATCTCCGAGGTCTTCCCTCATTATGATAAATCACACTGCCAAAAGTACTCCAACTAGAGCCAAGCTTTTGAAATTTAAATGTAGTTAAAGACTGTTTAAATTCTAGTATATTCAACAATTTTTTTCTGTCCTCACAATCAGAAGAGGCTCTTATTTTTTCTCTGAGTTAACAAAAAGGAAGCGAAAGCCACATTCAGCATCATGTGCTTTCTTTGCCATCCTCTGACTTTTAAGAATTGTTATTATATTTTCTATGATCTGAAGAGCTGCTGGATGGAACTTCACTTACTTGGCCTCAGAACAGGAAGAGAACAGTGCTGATCCAACCAGGCCAGTGCAGTGTCGTTCAGATCCTTAAAGCTTGTTGTGGAAACCATCCCATTGAAGGACTCAAACAATGGCTTAATAATAATGCTGAACTGCAAACCATCAAATGTCAAGGGAGACAACAAAGGGGGAGTTCAAAACATTCCATGAGAAAGGCTGGGGCAGAGAAAACACTCCATTTCTAAATGGACTTCAACTGCCAGAGGAATTGCAATGTTTAAATAATTGTCTTTTCAAATTTGTAACACCAAGACTGAGGAAAAAATGGAACTTTAGTTCCTAGTGATATTCACTATAATTTTTCAAAATTCCTCAACACTGACCTGAAAAGGAAAAAAAGGAAAGGGGAATGTGCAAATTTTTGAACAGCTTCAGTAATTTTTTTCCCCTGAAATCTTTGCTATTGTCTATGTACATTTCCCAAAATACAACCAGATCTGCAGTTACAGCAGAGTCCATAAAAGATTTCTTGCAGTTCAATAACCTAGCAAGAACCCCTTGCCTCTGCATTCATTGCATTTTACCTTCCAGTTACCTCCCACATGTTGAAGTGAGCAAGCTCTGCAAGAATCCATATCCACACACAGACGTGGATGAAAACTGAGGACATTTGCTATTTAAGTAACTTGGATTAAAGTCACAGCATCAGAATCCCAAGTTCTTGGCTTTAAAAGTACTGGTACCAAACCCCAAATTCATCAGGTTGGTGTAAAAGGATACAATCCAAAACTTCCAGTTCTGCAGGGTCCTGCTTCTCACATAATCATCAAACAACTTTTTCATGTGGTCAAACCTTTGTCGTGTTACAGGAACCCCTGTGGCAGGGAGCTGCTGCTGGCAAGAACTGAAATAGGTTTGAAGGTCAGAATCTCACCAAAAAGGAGACATTTCTCTTCCAGACTCAACTGCAGTAGGAAAAAAGTGTGTACTCCTGGTATCTCTGGCAGAGGGGATTCCCAGTGCATGATCCTCCCCTAGAGTGTTACCTGGTCCAGTCAGGAATAAAAACTATTTTCCCAACAATTTTGTCTACATTCACGCAGCAAAAGCAATTTATCAAGCTGCTACAAGCACTTCTGGTTACAAACAACAAAACTGAAAATGAAGTATAACATAGAACAAAGTGATTTTAGGCATCCATTAAGGACAAAGCACATTTGGAGTCAAGAAAAAATTTACAGTTACTCCTAAGCAATGTTACAGAAGAAGATGTAACAGAGATTCTTATGAAAAAGATCAATTCAAAATAAAACCAAGCAGACTTCATCATATTTTGTAAGAAAAACAAAAAGGTTTTGATTTACTGCTAATTCTAACATCATGCCTAAGCTTAAAACTTCTGGAGATGGAAGTAAAGCCACTGCAGTTCTCAATGTGCTTTGCAATAGTTACATAATCATAAACCCAGAGAGCAAACTGAGGCACTGGGCAGGTGATTTATCACAGTTATGTTCAGCCAGTGGAAAACTTCTGGAGCCCAAGTTGTGTCTGTCCAAGTTATGTTCTCAATCACAGTTTTCTATAAAAACTGACTGCATTTGAAAACTGCAGCAAAGCCATTGTGAAGAGTGAGAGCTCAATCACCAATGAGTTTTATAAAAACATCCTCTCTGAATTCTCAGCACTTTTCTGACCTGACACATCCTCCCTGATGCTGCCACTGTTGTGCATTGCTGAAAATTCACAGTTTGCACCAGTGCCCATCCCACAGCAGCTCTTGGAGCTGGCAGCAGCTGTTCTGTCCCACACCCATCTGTTCCCTGGTGTGACACCGAGCACACACTCCCTGCTGTCTGGCCCAGGCACCACTGAAGCTGCTGCTCCACCCCTGGCAGCTGCCCGTTCTCACAGGATGGTGGCGTTCAGCTCCTCGATTTCCTCCCGGAGGCGCCGGGTTTCCTCCTGCATCTGTGCCCTCTCCTGCTGCAGCTTGGCGATGTATTCCACTGTCTTCTGGAGCGTGATGGCGTGGCTGATCTAGGCCAAACACAGACACACAGCTCGCTTCCTGCAACAACTTGAGGTTCATCGTGGGTTTGTCCTCCTAACCTGCACTCCAGCACCTTTTAACTTTCCTTCACTGTGTGTAAAAGCACAGGGTCAGGTAGAGCAAAACACTTCAGATACTCAACTCTGCATTTCTCTGAATCCTCTTTGCACTCCTGTACAGAGAAATGTGGTTGCAGGAGTTGTTTTCTCCCATAAATTACATTTCTGCTACTTTGTTGAAAGAAATATTTTAATAATTTTAAAAGTTTTATTTCATTATCTGTCCTTTTAAAAATATTTACAGTTCTTACTTAAGTACTGAAGGATGTCCTATATCTCCAGACAGATTTATAGTGCTGGTAGAAGTGCTGCTTGAAGTTGGCAACATAAGTTATTTAGTTTGGGAAACCTGAAGTTATTAAACAGAAGGACCCACAAAAGGAGACAAATAATAATACTCTTCAGTTTGGAGGAACCAATTAAAAATCTGCACTTGAAAAATAAAATAACCAAACATTTCAGTAAAGCTGAGTTTTCAAAAAGGACTTCCTTTCAAAATAGGCTATTCAAAGTCAGGAAGTGAAATTCTGACAACATATCACGTAAATTTCTGAAACTATAAAAATTATATAAGCAAATCAACATGCTGCACAAAAAGCTTTCATATTTTACACATTTCAAAGCTCCTGGAATTTAAAGGTCACTAAGAATTTTGTTGTGCAGATCTGTATTTCAATTTAGTGAACTAAATTAACTAGTGTAGCCAGAGGAAGTTTTTAGTTTGGACAAAGTAATTTGACAATGAAAAATCAGCTGGGAATTTTTTTCCTCTGTAAACCCATGCTTGAAAGACAGTAGAAAGGGGGATAAAAGGCCTGGATTCTTAAAGACAGCTGGGTGGTGCAGAGAGTCCTGAAGAGATTTTCCAAATCATCTGAACTGACCACGCCCCTCTAACTCTTGCTGGGAGATCGCAGTGGTGTAAGAAATTTTAGGAATTTACCTGAGCTTTTCCATTCTACCTCTGCTCACTGCTGTGGTCCAGCACTGTGTGACCACTCAGCAGTGAAATGATTACATTTATTAACAAGACTTGTAAAATGGCTGGTTTTTACATTTCACATTAAACTGTAGGTGCTGCTGCAGTACTTACCAACTTGGAGTTGGCTGACACCAAGCTGTTCAGAGCACTGAAACCAATCTTGATATTAAACCTTCGTTTTTGTTCTGAAAGATGCTTCATCCTTCGATTCTGCATAAATAAAATCAGCTCAGTTTATGCTGTTCTCCTGCTATGACTATTTCATCTACTCAAATTCAGTGTCATTTTTGTTGACTTCCTGGCATTCACAGTCTCCCCTGGAACGACTCTCCAGAATTTTAATAATGAATTGAAGTGTGGACCACCTCTGACACCTGCACCTATTTTAAGCAACAAAATCTGAAAGATATTATATAACCTGGAGGTTCTAGACTTGTACAGTATGCACATGATTTGTTACTTGCCAGCATAAACGTTTGAAAGATACTCTTTGTCTGTGGAGGGCTTTAGCAGAAAGAAAAGGTCACCCTACACCTCTTCCTAAGCTTCAGCTGTGTCATCAGGAAGTAAAATATTTAGGATTTATATTAACAAAAGAACAAAGATGAGTAGACCCAGAATTGGTCCAGCCTGTGATAGAAATACATCACAATCAGTAACAAAGAAAACAACTGGCAAGATTTTTTTAGGCACAGAAGGATCCTGCAGCCCCTGGATCCCAGGGCTGGGGACCTACACAAACCATTGACAGGAGCTCCCAAGGCTGGTGTCCATAGTAAGAAAATACTTTCCAAACTATAAAAGGAGCTCTAGTTTCTGCTCCAGCACTGGGAATGCCAGATTATTCCAAGGCCTCTGAGCTGCCGAGGACAAAGGAGGAGCTGGCAGATCCCTTCCCAAAGCTGAGGCCACACCGCCGCCCTGTGGCTCCTGCCCAGCTCAGCCGGGAACGGCCAGGGATCATCCCTGGGATGGTTACACGTGTCACAGCCACAGCAGGGACACAGAGAAAGATCCAGGAAGGAAGAGACCATAACTGTGCAACAGCCCAGGAATTTCTTTGTTCCGAGTCTCTCTCTCTCTGGCAGCACCAGCCTGAGCTGTTCCCATTAGTGCACCACTCAATTTCTGCTTTTTGCTGGGAGTCTGCCACAGAAAACCTGGGATGAAGAAACTTCTTTAACTGAGTTTGCACTTTGAGAACACATTCCTGGCAGAGTGAGGCTTTCTGGCAGCAGCTCACCATCACCCCACTTTACAATGGAGGAAAGCAATGTAATAAAGCAGTGGAGTGGTTGCCCAAAACCACAGAAAATGCAGGTTCATGAGCAGAAGTGAAATTTCCAGTGCCCTCTGTGCTTTGCTGAACTGAAATAACCATGTTACCTAGCAATACAGAACTGTTTAATCTAACTAACAATACAGAGGAACAAAAGCACATGTATCTAGAATCTGGCAAGTATCACTGTTACTCTCTTGTCTTACAAAAGAGTTACTAACAGCACATATCCAAAGCAATTCCTGTCAGAGCAGGCATGTTTACACGGCTGTAAAGCCTATTTCATAGCCATGTCCTTGCTTTTCCCACCATCAGCCAGCCCTCCTAATTAGTTCCTTTGTTACCTTACTCTCTAGCAGTGGAACTCTCTAGGCTGCATCCACTGCTTGTGAGCTTTCATGCCAAGCAAATCCCTGCCAGCTTTTATGAGTAACTTGCAGCATGGTCAGCAAGGGGCAGCTCTGATTGTCCTCTGCAACAGATCTGGACCTGAGTGTAGTCACAGGCTGCAGGTGTTCAACTTACCTTTCTGCCCTAGAGTAACCAAACTCACAGGGTACACAGAGCCAGAGAAGCCAGAAGGGGGTTGGCACTTGCAAAACAGTTAAGTAACGCTCTCTTCCACAACAGAACGAATGAGAGGGTTACAGCTGATTGTTCTGATGGGGTTTTTGTGGAGAAGTTTCTCATACCTCCACAGCAAGTGTTCTGACAAGGTCAGCTTGTGTGTGAGGTACAACCAGTGCTTGGGTGCTATCTCTAGACCGCCGAGTTCTTACCCCAGTAATTCTCGAAGGGTTTTACAGGTGTAACTTGTAGAGTCTGTGGAGCTGCTTCTCTGTGGAGCAGCATAGCATCACTGGAGACATGTAAGTAACTCAGCAGGTCAACAACTTCCCCTCCAGCGATGGCCAGAGCCCTGCAGACTGAAGAGCCCCAACAGAACAATGGCAAAAAGCCACGGTTTAGAACACTACGCCTGAAAGCTTTGACCAAGTAAACTGACACCTGTCACAACACTCCTGGGAGCCACAGCAGGAACTGCTGTCACGACCATAAGGACCTGCAGAGGTACAGCTAAGCCTGGCCCCTCTGGTGACACATCCCTGAGGAGCAGAGTCGGTTAGAGTCTGACATTTTGGATTGCACAGAGCAGCATGGATGCAGCAGCAAGCTAAGCCCAACACACAAATATGCTACTGTCCTGAAGCACAACTTTCTCTAGTCCAGGCTCAGACATCAGGACAGAAAAGTAGCCAGGAAGGCAAAGAAGAAAATCCCCTAAAAGGAAGGGACACACACCTTAAATGCAGCCATAGTAGGGTCAGTAGCAGGTTTTCCTGAGCAGCTGCTCTGAGGAGACTGTGGGCTGGGGCTCTGCTCAGAGGTGCAGGGGGAAGCTTGGCCTGAATTCTGACACTCCCGGCCTTCAGAAAGGAAAAAAACACAAGACATATTAACAAATAACTTTCTGTAGCAAATGTAACTGCTGAGAAATTTCTACTCAGAATTGAACTGAAATGCAGTCGGCAACCAAATTACACTGCTTGATGCAGCAACCACATGCTTGAAAACATCAACACTGCTGGGAAAGCTTAGGATATCATGTCACATGATACATCCTGAATAGCAAGATGTAACAGTCCTTTCACACACACATATTTCAGCAGAGGGATGTTGGATGCACAGGCTGTGATTCCATTGTCCTGCTGGGCTCCCCTGTTTGTCTCTAAAGGCCTGGGACACGATGGTGACACTTCCAAGCATTTACCACCAGAACCAGCCCAGGGAACACTCTGTTGATGCACATGCAAAAGGAGTCTTTGCACTTACCTACAAGGATTGTGTCTGAGATCCTCCAGTCAAAATCAGAGCTATGACACTGAACAACAAACCTATTCAGCACTTCCTACACAGATGCCTTTCATTTCTTGGTGACTACAACAGCACATCCTTTTATCAAGGAGTGACTTACAAGAACCACAAAATCACAGTTTGTGGGGATGCTGCACAGTCATTTAAGACAGAAATTGCAAACTACTTGATGCAATTGAAGCTGTGGAATAGAAGGGCCTGAAAAGCTTTTCCTTCAAAAATTACCTAGGGATCCTCAAGGCCCCCTTTACACCCTGCCTACCCAACAGACACACTTCCATGTGCAGGGGAGAGAAAGCTTACAGCTTTCTAACTTACTAGGTGTAGGTGAGGGAACTTGTGAACTGCAACAGTGGGAAGGGATGTGTTCTCCTTTCACCAACACATCCTGGACTACACTAGGAGGGAAGAGATGTGAGACTGTGGACTGGCTTTGTTGACTACTTGGTGCTCGCTGTGCTGGACCAACCAGAATGTTACTACGGAACTCCGTCACCCCGGGAGCCTGGGAACAGCACAGAAACAGCACAGAGAAAAAACAGAGGAGAGAGCAGGAGGGGCAGTTTGAGGGCAGAGGGAGAGAAGGGATGAGAGAAAGGAGAAAGTGGAGGGAGAGATTAAGAAAGAGAAAGAGAGAGAGAGAGATTTGTTACCTTGCCTTTCACTAAAAGTCGCAAATTAATACATGATTAACAATCTGATGACATAAAACAAGGGCTAATATATAAGGATCTGGCAGGCACCAAAGTCAGGCTTCTGGCAGGAGACCAGTATCCTTTCATAACTTAAAGCAGTATTACAACACATCAACAGCATAATATACTTAAATCCATCTCCATCTTCCTGCACACAACATACTGGGGAAACCCACTCACATACCCAAGGCATGTTTTCCAATATGGCAGTGGAAAGGTGAGCTCCCTGGGCTCCTTCCAGCTTCTGCACAGTTAAACCATCCCCAACCACAGCTCTGTGAACACAGGCCTCCCTGGAACCTTACTCTTGTGTGAGACAGAGCCTGTCAATACTATAAAGTGCTTCCAAGCCCATAAAGTGGCTACATTAAAAATAAGCAAACATAATGCTGAATGCACAAATGCATACGTTGGGTAACAGATGATTTAGTGGACTTGTTACCTGCCTGAGCACATTATGGCTCTCACTACTTGCAAATAACAGGCCTAGAAAACAAATATGTAATTTTTTTTTCTTCTCCTTACTCTGACAATTCCAGCTGGTGCAATTGCAACATTAGACTGAGACGTGGCTGGCGTCAAAATCCCCTCTCTTTTTAAAGGTGCTGGAGTTACAATCACAGCTCTGGACTGTCCCTGAAAGGCAGCTGAAGAACACAATTCAGTTAGAAAAGTTAATGAGACAAAAAAAGAGATGGAGATTATTTTGTATGAAATAACTTGTCACTAAACACAAGTGTGGATCAAGGGGCATCTATTTGGTACTATTTCACTTCAGTATAAAATGCCTGTCTTCCAACAATCTCAACCCCCTTCATCCAGTACAAAGGACTTCAACACTCCAGCTATTTTTGAGGTTTCTAGCATCACTGTCACTGTTTCAAGGTGAATTTACAGATGTATGTTGTAATTCAGGGAGATGCCAAGTGTCTCCATTCTGTCAGAGCTGGGTTTGACAGGAGGAGAACCCTCTTCCATCCACACTTTGGGATGTCAGGCTTGCTCTGTTGACCCAGGAAGGATCAATGACTCAGTACTTCATGCTTCCTTATATATATATATATATGTATCTTAAATCCTTAAATCCCTCAGCACTTCAGCCTACCAGCCTCTTTCACTACCTGGTTATATAGCTGCTTTAGATGACACACAACCAAATGTGATTGGGAATCAGCATCAAAATTCTACAAAATATGCTAAAGAGCCAAGAGTTCTGCAGGCAGCTAGAGGTAATTGTGAATAGCAGCAAATGTCTCCAGAAGAATCTGTGAAGATCTCCATGTAACCAATGCAGATGTGCAGTTACTACCACGACACTCAGGGTGACATGGATCTTGCCCAGTCTAGATAGAACATGACTGACCATCCTAAACCATTACTAAGGGAAGAATGAGGCAAAGACACAGCTTCTTTCTGGGTTTTGATAAAACTGAACCAAATATACTTGGCTTCACTCTTGGCTGTACTGGTTCAGCTCTCCTTTGTACAAATGAAGTCATGATGCAGCTCAGCCCCTGCTGAGCCACCCCTCTGCAGCCCAGCATCAGGAACCCGAAGGACACACACAGCAGGACAGGGAGACAGTGTAGGGTTATCCAGTGTCCCCTCCCTTACAGTGTCACCTGTGACTGACAATTGTGTTTTGACTCAAGTGGAGTTTGTGCACAGCCTCCATAGGAGAGGCAGTGGACTGCACAAACCTTGTGCCAGCCCTTGCGTGGGTCTGTCTGGAGCAGAGCTCTGTCACTGCCACAGGGAGCTCATTCTTTGAGCATTCCCACATCTAAAGCTGGAATCACAACCCTTCCACTGTTCACTGATGTTCAGCTGGACTTGTGACATCTCTATTGACCTCCAGAGCCTACTCTTCTTACCAGTGCATTACTGCTGCTGCACAGGCTTGGCTTTTATGACTTCCACATTTGGGGAACTGCAGCAACCAGCAACAATATTTAGCAGTCGCTTTACATGATTCATGTTTCTGTCCTACACATGCATCTTTTGCAGACTTTCCTCTCAAAATCAGCACACTTATCATGAAGTGGTGATAGCACTGAAGTCTTGCACCTGATGAGACCATCTGTACAGGTTTTTGAGTCTGTATACCACACAGCAGTTCTAACACAAGATAATGTAATTTGCTTTACAGTCACAAAATGATTTGTTTGTCCTGAACACAAATGACAGGCATAAATGCCTCAGTTACAAGTACTAATGTTTATTCTATTGCCAAAAATAAACTCTAATATTTATATAAATTCTTGGATTTGTCCCCTGAGCTTGATGTCCCAGTAGTTTAGGAACACCATGATCCCCAAACACATGTCACTAAACTAGATGAGAAACAAAGCCACTGGTTGTGATGGTCTAGAAGTAAATGCTGGAGCACTGGGAAAGTAATATATGGGGTGAGGAACAACCCAGGAAGCACTGAGAAAAGCAGGAGCAAAGGCTTTCTGAAAATGAGTTGCCTACAATCTTAACTAGGTGAGAAATGCATGTCTTGACTGCTGAAGGTACATGGGCTGTTAGTTTATAATATATTATACATAGGAACACTGCCATTAACACCCTCATGCTATTAATCATGGACCAAATTGATCCCAGTAACATCCTAAAATTAGATCTTGGGTCTGTTCTTCTCCTGAACAGTGATTTTTCTTTTTGGTGGGTAACCTCACTCACTATCAGGCCCTGGCAGACACACCCACTCCCTAGTAAAGCCTGTTTAACATTACTCCTCCAGGCAGGCTTTTTCTTGAATTATTGTTGCACATTTCAAGTGGCTGAAGTCACCTGGCCCCCAGCCAGCACAAGTCTAAAAATAGACTGCAATAATCCTAAGAAAAGCATTCTGCCTGTCCTGCTCCAGCCTTGAGCTTTCCTACAAGAATCTTAAGCAAAATTCTCCCTCCTTATCTTGTTACTTTGCCTTGTGCAGCACCAGTGGCTCCAAATCCCACTCACAGTGTGGAAGTACCAAGTGCTCCTACCCTGACCTGAAACCCACTCCTGACTTAAAGCATCCTAAGGGTCTCTAGACTGCTTGAGACAAAGATCTCCAGCTCCCTGAGCAGAACCTCCTCCTCCACTGTGGCTGAATGCTTTGAGGGACAGTTAATCACATCATCACACCTAAACCCAGAGTTTCTATGGGGCAGGAGCACAGATCTGGTGCAGCCACACAGCCCATCACAGATGTTACAGAGAGAGACTCCCTTTTTCAGGTCAGCTTTTCACACTCTATCAAACTGCTTCCAATCCTTGCAGCAGTCCAGAGCATCCCACTGATGCCAGTGGATTCAAGGGTTCCATGGACACACTCAGAAGCTCTATTTTAACTTATGTAAAGCAAGAAAAGCAAGAAGGTCTTTTCCTCCTGCTAGTCCAAGTCAGAAAACAAAACCATCCTCCCACAGCGCTCCTCACCTGGGGTGATGAAGGCATTCTTTACCAATAAGGACACTGTTTCAAGCTTCGGAGCAGGCACTATTTTTTGTGACTGTTTGGGCCTTGTCCCAGCAGTGGCCAGAGGAACAGGTTTGGGGAGTGCAAATGTCAGCTGGGACTGCAGCTGGGGCCGGGGCTGCTGCCCCTGCACTACAGCAGTCTGGAAGGCCAGGTTACAAGGCACTCCTGCCCCCGGCTGCTGCGTGGCCAGGACCAGGCTCTGGCTCTGGCTCTGGCTGAAGGTGGTGGCAGGGGCGTTGTGGGTCAGCGTGTCAGAAGCCGTGTGAGTGATGACCGAGGACTCACAGAGGAACTTGGCGGTTTCGGGAGCAGCGAAGGCGGCGGGGGCGGGGCTCGGGCTGGAGCTCAGCGGCACCGCGGGCAGCGGGGATTGCTGCTGGCCACTCGTGGGCTGCAGCAGCGGCAGCGGCGGCTGGAACACTGACATAAAAGTTTGTGGCCCGCTGAGAGACGAGTCAGGAGGGAAGTCTGCCGGCTGGATGAAAGATCCCCCACTTCTAATGCTGGAACACTGGTCAGCTACGACGTCAGGAATGACAGGAGCAGGTACTGAGGAAGGAATCAGTCCATCACTGATGCTCTCTGCTGGAAGCGTGCTGGGCAAGGAACCCGATGGCAGGACAGGAGACTGAGAGACAAGGAAATATCACTGATTCAGACATGTCTGAACTCCTCCTGAGAGGACTTGGCTGGTGAGAGTGGCTTCTGTTTTCTGTGGTAGCTGAGCTGACAGCAGACACGGAAGGGAAATAATTACTAGAGCGACTGGGTGTGAATAATTCTGAAACATGAAAAGTCACCTATTAATTTTCTACTTTTCAGACTCAAGATACAGCATTGCTAGATCCTAAAATTCACAGGAATATCTGTATTATTTAGTAAATAATGAAACTATGAGATTTTTGCTTCATACAACTGCTGTTGACTGAGCAGTGAATTGCTGTATTCCAGAGGAACTCTCTCTTTGGGGCTGACTCCTTCAGCTTTCATGCAAACTGGGACAATGCAAAAATCTGTCCTGTTAAAGGTTCATCTACACACAGACAGCCAAGAGCTGATCCTCAGCGAGTCCCACAAAGTACAGTGATCTGATGGAGACTGCTTGCAGAGCCAGCAAATAGATATGACTCTTTACTTCCATGAAGATCCATAACCATCAAAGTTGTCAGCAGTAGTTTAATGTTATATGGAATCCTTGACAGTCCCATAAAACATTGAAAGACAAACAAAATGTTAAATGTCTTCATCACTAAGAAGTGTGAAATGGGAAAACCTTAGATGTTTGTAACACTTAAACTTTTTCTGTAACCTAGTTCGTAAATCACTGCAATATTTAAGAAATTAATTAACTCTATATATGATTCTTACCCTGAAAAGGCTCAAAAGTATCCATAAAATCAAAATTTGGCTGGAGAGGAATAAGCCCTGGTTGAATCATGTCAGCATTTCCTAAGTGTCCTGCAAAATTCAGAAGACAGATTAGATTAGCTTCCCACCACTCACATAATAACAGCAGCAGGAATAAAACATTCCACAGCCAGGCTTGGCCAAGATATTACAGAAAAACTGCTGCTGAAAGGAACTGAGCATCTGCTTCTCTTCAGAGCTACAGCACAGTCCAGATATCAACGCCATTGGGGAATGAAACTTTCAATTACTAAAATGGAAGAGGTGAACCCTGAAGGCTCTAATTGACATCTGGGATTGTCAAGCTCAGATGCCTCCTGCTCCCAAACCTCCTGTCTTGCCCCTGCTGCACTACACACAACCTTGTTGGGAAGCACAGCCTGACCACACAGCTCACAGCAGAGTATTTTAAAATAAACAATCACCCATTTCATTTGCCTTGAGTACAATTCATGCAAACCATGGCTGCTCTGGAGTTGCTCAGACATCCCTGCAGCAAGGATGGTGAACAGTGAACATGTGCTGTCCCATCAGACAGTCAGAGCCTCCAGACAGAGCTGAACAGCTCTTGGGATTGTTTGTACAGATGAAACTTGCACTGGTTCTACTGGACAAAGCCAAACAAAAATACACAGGCACTCCTTTAAAAACACACACACAACTATGCTTTGAGATAAATCACAATGTCTTTACCACTGATAAAGTAAATACTGCTCAGTAGAGATTCATTCAGAGCAACATTAGGGAGCAAAGCTGGGAGCAGCACATAAGAATCTAAGTGAAATTAAATTCAGATCATTAATTGGGATTCTATAACCTACAGAATTATAAGACAGATACAGATAAAAACAGGTCAGGAAATGTATCAGCAAAGTAAAACAGATTTCTAAGGCAAAACTAGAGCAGCAAAGCATCAAACCAGACTTTTTGTAGGGGTTCTCACTGCAACATAGCTACAGCCAACAAATACCTATGTCCCTGGAATTTGGCCAGGAAACCAGCTGATGTGAGGAGAGAGTGGAGAAGAGCGTGTCGGTGAACTCGGACATGAGCATGTCTGCATCCAGGAGGCTGCCTTCCTCCATGGGCACCGGGGTTTCTCTGCCATACCTTCTTTCCTGCCGGAGAACCACATCATCATCCTGCCAAAGGAAAGGGAGACAGGTCAGGCTGCCTAGCAGTGCCAAAGCAGTCTAGTGCAGACCTATAAAAGCAGCCTTCGTTTTTCACGTTTTTAAAGGAAGAACTTCTCTTTGAGGAGCCATCAAATGGACTGAAAGACATCAGTGGTGCTTCTGATACACCAGCAGCTTCAGCTCACTGAAATGCCACAACACTCTGGGAAAGGTTTTCACCCAAAACCCAGATATTGACTAGAAGCAAGTAAGACAAATAACACTTCCTTGTTTAACTGATTACACAAATATTTTTGCACCTAGTTTGACAACCCCTTGGTTTGAATAAAGATTAAAAATAACATGACTAGCAAGAAAGCAAAAAACAACTCCTGTCTTGTGAGATGTATCTGAAACTCCAAGTTTGCACAAGACACTTTTTGCCCACGAAAAACACATCATAATGTGACTTGGCTTACCCATCCCTCACTACAGGCTGAGTTAAATTGCACTGCCTTACAAAAACAGAACAGTGCTTCTGATCATCAGCTTATATACCCAAAGTAGGTTTGACAGTTTAAGGGGACATACTAAATGGTGATACCACTGTTCCTTTAACCATTTTGTCCTTTTATAGGATCCTGGCATATTATCTGCCTGAGCTGTGGGCACAGCAGGAAGATCTGCAACACGTAGCTCCCACATGTTCACAGATCCAGTTACACAAGCAAGGCAGCAGTGCCAGTTACAACTCAGTAACAAGATGAAATCATGTGCCAGCCCTCAAAGAGATTGATCTCTCTGGGCATGCAATGCTGATTCCCACTTCTTCTGTCACAGCACTTTACATTCAACCTTTCCTCCATCCAATTCAAGCTACAAATCTTGCATTGCTCTCTGAGGCATAGAACATTAAGGTGTCTAACCTTAATTAAGGCTTAAGCAAGATACTTGTCTTTAGATTTTAATCAAAGCAAGCTACTGCATGTTACAGCTTTGTTATCTACTGTGGGTTCTACAAGCATAAATGCTGCCACTTCTCAGTGGTGTTACCTACCCTGACCAAACTTGAAAGATCTTCATCTTTGTGTTTCTGTAACTGCAAAAGGACAACAGAACAAATGGTGAAGTCAGAATAGGTCCTGTACGTACCAGTGGAAGACCCGATTTTGAAAAACTTGTAAGACCCAATCATGCACAATCAATCCCAGCACAAAATTTTTAGTTAAGTGGAACTAATCAGATAAGCATGTCTGTACCAGCTTATCATCTCTTTTAAATACTCTTGCATGCCAGAAAAAGTGATAGAAAAACTCAAAAAGCAGCAACATACTCATCAAGCTCAAGCAAACTACTTTCACTATGTAAACCAACAGACCCTTTTCTTGAAGTATGTTCTCCACTTGTGGTACTCCCTAATGACTATTTCAATTCTTCGTTTCCAGTATTTCCCTTCTGTTGCAATGGCCTGAGAACACAAACACATACCATGAATTACACAGAATCACATAAGGGCTGAATATTCAATACATTTCCAAGCAAATATTCAGGCATAAAAAATGCAAAAGAAAGCATGCTAATTCTATTTGAGCTCATGTATCAGCAGCCCACACTGTCCCAGAGTTCAACTATCACAGAGCAAATCTGACAGTACTAACTTCATCTTTCCCACAGAAACCAAACACCAGATGACATCTGACTGCACTGTCAGCATCTCCCACAGCAGCTCAACCATAACCAAGAGTTAAGAAATGGAAAAAAAAACCAAAACAACCTTTAAAATTAATTTACTGAAATATAACATATAAAGCACACAATATCCTGTGAATTTCACAAGGTCACATGCACAGACACACAAATAAGCAAAAGCTGCTATGAATGACACAAAGCAATAGGAATCTGATGTCCAGCTCAGGAAGACCTTGCAGGCCACACACTGATGGCAACAAAAGAATCAGACAATATGGGTCTTCAATGTATCACAGAGAGCAGTGTTTAAGTTGGGGAGAGCAGACTAATGAGAGCCTTAACTTTGTGTTCGAGGGTCACTTTCAACACAACCATCAACACTGTTCTTTCAAAAACCTGAGACAGTTCCACAAACTCATCTGGAACTCCTTTGAGTTATAAATTATTCTAGAGTTATGCAGTACAGAGAGAGCCATATATTGCCACATCAAGGGCCTCACTGGTTTTCTGCAAGGAGCCAGAGGGCAGATGTTAGTTTTCATTTATGTTTACAGGAGCACAAAAATGAAAGAACACAAACTCATATTTGATCTGTCTGTGAAACTACCTCAATGCAGAAAAAGAAATTGCTTGTTCTCTTGAAACCACACCTTGCCAATTACATAAAATACAGAAAACACTCCCAGGGTCACTTAGATTCACTCCTGAAAATAGTCATCACTCTGATTTCCCACTGACTTCCAGTCAGAAGACAGCAGTGGCTGTCAAAATCTTAACTATTCAAACAGCACTTGTATGACTTATGATTCATTAAACTACACCATTAACATAAATTACAGAGATAACAAATGTCCTTCTGGTTGCACCTTGATCATCCTAATGTGATAAACTCACAGAACTAGGTTCTCTCTGCTTTTAATGATTCCTTCTAAATAAAACCAGAGCACAGCCTGGCTATGCTGCCCTTGTTTCCAGCAGACCAGAAAATCCTGTTACAAATCCAGAGCCCTCTGGGCTGTTCCCAGGGTTTCACACACCTCTGGCCTCCGGTGCTCATCGACATCCACGGAGCCGTCCAGGGGGGTCACAAAGTGGCACACGGGGTTCTTGCGCTTCTCCAGGTCTGAAACAACAAGGGAAATGCAAGTGCTGAGCACGGGCAGGGCTGCAGAGAGCTGTCACTGCAGTGCCAAGGTGTGACAGGGAGCCTAGCCAGGATTCCTGCCTGATAAACAACACGAAACAGGGAGATCTGGGGCTGTGCTTGGAGCACTCAGCACACCCTCGGTGTGGGCACATCCAGCAAAGCCCTGATCCAACAGCACCGCCTCTCAAACATCAGACCTTGAGCAGATTCCCGAGCTTTTCACTTGACAGTAATTTCAATTCCCTCGTTCTCACCGATGTGTCCGGACAGACCCGCCCCCAGCACGGTACTTACACTGCATGTACCAGGCCCTCCAGATGGCGTTATTGAGACGGATTTTATCTCTCCACTGAAGCTTCAATCCCTTAAAATTTTTCCATTTTGGTGAAACCAACCTTCCGCTGCAACAAAACAGACAACAAATCATTCTGCTTTCAGTTTTTCTCTCTCCCTTCAAAACAAAGCATCCCCCTAAACCAGCCAAACCGTCAACAGATGAAACAACAACAAGCCACACTTGGCCAGTCACAACTTTTGCTAACCATGGCTCACTGAGCCAGGAGCCAGACATTATCCCAGTCTTCAAGAGTCCTCCATAAGAACTAAGAACTGTCACAACTGGTCTCACAAATATCAGCAGGAATGAAATTCATCTCACTCACACTTTTCTCTTTGCCAGTATCACACCTTTTCTAATCCCTACCTATGAGCTTCCACCAACTGGGATCGAGATTATTCATATTAAGAGGCTTCTGCATGTTTGGTCAGATGCAGTTACATTCGATTTTCCAGGCTGGTAACACTGAAAAGGAGGAATGAAATGCCAATTCTGCCCCAAGAAAAAAACATAACCCACCAGTTCTACACTGCTGGTAATCAGAGCTAGGCACAAAGAAGTACCAACAGGCTAGAAAGAGTAACTTTTCTCCAAGGAAAAGCAAGGCTGGAAAAATAAATGGCTTTTGCATGAATGCTCTTGGGAGATGGATGGGAAATGGAAGGAAAAAGGAAGAAGCAGCAGGGCCTCTAGTAAGCACTGTATAAACACAAACTACCCAGCCCTTAAAACACACCTTTATGAATCATTAATCCATTCTATTGACAGGGCAGAGGAAGTAGGAAATACTCACAACACAGTAAACTTCAAGCCAGAGATTAAAGTATAGGAACTGTGCCTATCCCAGATTCTGCCTCTTGTTTTGGGGGGGTTTAGCCCCACATCTTCCAAGTTTATGTCTCCTGTGCTGTTTGTGCAACCTTGCTATGAGGGAATTGCACCAGCAATACCAACTGCAACCCATGCAACAACAAAGGAAACAGCTTCACACCACGAGCATCAGGTCAAGGGGTGATGGACAGAAGGAGTGACAGGAGCAACGTCACTACAAACACTCTGCCCTCTCAGATCCCCCGAGCACGTGGTCAGCCAGGAATGGGCCCTGCCATGAAGAGCAGTGGCACTGGAGATGCACCAGCACACACAGCGCCCTGGCACACGCCATTTGCCTCACACATTCAGCACAAATGAATTCAGAGAGGAATTATTTATCCTTAAAAGCTCATTTCTCAGTTAAGCTCTCAAATCTCTGTGCAAACAGGAAGTACATCCTACAGAAGTGCAAGGCACTTCCCTTGGCTCACCAAAGCCCATGCACAGAGCCTGAGGCTAAAGAACTGATGATTCCCAGTTTCCTATTTGGTCTGGGAAACCTCCCAATAGCAACTCTTTTTAAAGAAACCTTTTAATAAAACTTGCAACACTAAAAATAAGTAAAAAGTCCTAAGCCTAAACAAAAGCAATCAGAATGCCAGAGCTGCCAATAACAGGATATTAAACCAACATTTTTTCACATATTTGGCTCACCATTTCTTTCCTGCCTTGCTGACACCACAACTGCTCTCACACTCAGGTGCTCCCCACAACTCTGACAGTAACAGAGGAGCAAATGCCAGGCTTCAGACAAGAGACAGGTAAAGAAAACCAGCTCTGCTCTTTCAATTTTACTGCTATATAAAATGTCAGTTGTGGCAACAGGTTGTAGCAATGCACCAGCAGATGACTTGTTGCCTGCTCGTGAAATTTTTTTTTCTCCTTGTCCTCTTTAAAAATAAACTGCAATCTTCTTGTATGCACAAGGAAGCAGATGCAGAGATAAGGTATGAACTGCACTGAAAGGAGAATTCCCAGCAGCAAGAGAACAGGAAAGTGATGAAGTTGTGAGCCCTGTCCATGCCCAGCTGCCCTTTGGGGTGTAGGCTGTACTGGACTATGCTACAAGGCCCTGCAGCCTTTGGGACACTGGTGCTTGATAAAAAATAAAGTATAAACAAAATGTGGTACACAATATAGAACACGAGCACCCCCAAAGACAAGCAGACTTGCTGGAGAAAGCAACTTCAGTGACTGGGAGTGACAGCAAACCATGTCAACTATTGGCAAGGAATAGAAAAATCATTGTTAATGTACTTGTGCTGTCACTGGGCTTTAAGACACCCAGTACCATGGGACTCTGCATGGTCATGGACATTTAGGAAATCCTTCTGGATTATTTCTTTTCAGTAGTGAAATGCATCTCCCCAAACTGCACTTCTAAATTTCAAGACTTTCAGTTAATGAAAAGATCTCCAACTATTTAATTTCGCTGTTACCCAACCCACGTGTCAGGGCAGAGTGGATTTCCACCCATTTAATATTTCTCCCACCACTGCAAACCATCCCAACACCTTCAGTGTTCATTGCACAGCCAGCTCTGCCTCAGAACCACAGCATGCCTTATCTTTCCTTCCAAACCCAGACTAAAGCACATCTTTTCCTGTTTCTCATCTGTACAGTAACTGTTTGGAGACAGGAGATGAACATGCTGGTGCACCCCCAGCACTGACAAAGTGCCCACATGCCTTTGACTAAGAAATCTGTTAACTTAATGTTCATCTCTTCATAGCTCTGTGTGACTCGACAGTTCACCAGAGCAACAAAACTCTAATAATCTGCACTCAGAATAACAAGAGCAAATGCTTTTCTATAAAAAGACTAAAATGAACTGTAATCAAGTCTGGTCCACTCCTTGCATCTTCAAAGAGCTAATTAAAACTGGAATTAAAACACAAATAGTTTAAAATATTTTCAATTACATTCTTAGAAAATGCTAAACAAGACTAGTACATCAAAAGAAGGAAGTGATTAAGAACCTATTCTTAAAATAATTATTATTTTTAGTTCCCATGGGAGCAAAACACAAGTCCAGCTTGAGGTCATAAGTGAAACAACTTCAGCCCCGGTGGAGAGGAATCAGCATGAAGCTGACAACAATATTTAGACACTATTCCAAATTCCAAAGTCAATGGAAAGTCAATTACTTTGAACAGCACTGTGACTGAGAGCAGCTGCCTAACTGAAAGCAGTCTTCAGATTTTAAAGCAGCAAAACAACAACAAGGAAAAAACCCAAACAACTGGAGAAACCATCTGGCAGCTGCTCCTGCCAAGTCCTACAGCAAATGTGGAGCAATTCCCAACAGGTGGATGGACACCATGTACCTGCAGCACAACCCAGGAGCACACCTGTGGTCCCACAGCTGCTGCTGCTCTGGGGGATGCTGCTCCCAAAGAGGAGAGCAGGAGAACGTGCCAAGGGAGAACTGGACCCAACAGTGCAGGGTACAAGGCAGGACAGCTGCACCCACAGCTTGTGGGAACGCTGGTGCTGCACAGAGAGTGGCCAAGCTGAGGAACACAGGGAGCCAGGCTCCCAGGTGCATCCTGCAGGGGATGCTGCTGCCAGGAGCTCAGCTCATGTAAGCAATGCTGGAAGAATAGGTGACTTTCATGCTCTCCTCACTATCACACAGATCAAATCAAAGCAGCTGAAAACCATCTGGTGAGTGATCTGCAATGCATTCCAGCAGCTCAGCTCAGTCTCCCATGTAGAAATCTCCACCTCCTGAGTCCAAATGTCCTCATCAAGTGATTTGATCACAGCAAACCAGCCAAAAGAGCTTCAGCTCAACAGCAACAGAGCTGGAAATCCCCTTGGACACAGCGGCCCCAGCGTGCTTTAAAGGGCTGTCAGAGGAGAGGCTGCAGGCACCCGAGGCTGCCACTTCCATCTGCTGCAACTCTCAACTGAGAGTCCTGCATACACCAAGAGAGGCTGCACTCCATTCCCAAAATTTTTTACAAGCGTTTTCCCAGCTCAGGAACTACACTTCAGGCAACTGAGATCCAAGCAGGCAGATAACGCAGCATGGTCTCTCCCAGTAACACAACTCTCCATTTCTACAACTCCAGTGAAAACAGCTGTGTTTTAAAACAATTATAAACCTTCAAACATCACAAAATTTGCAGCAAAATACAAGAAACAGACATCCACTGTGAGAGTGTGATCTGATTCCATTCAACACCTTTGATTTCTAAATTTTTCTTCAATCAACTGAAATGTAACTAGGGAGCAGATTTGTTTTCTAACAGTACCCTGACAGTATCCATTTACAAGTAAAGTTTTGCCTCTGAGAATCTCATCGTTTTCTTCTAGGTTAATAACACTCAGTTCATGATCTTACAGGATGTTTTAGTGATGCTTTGGACTCAGTAAAGACAAGACCCTCTTCCTTAACACATACACATGGGATGCCATTCACTGCTGCAAAATTTAAACCAGTAGCTCTTCCTAGCACTGAAACAACATTCAATTAATAAACTCAATGAGAAACTCCTCCCAACATCTGTAAGCAGGATCAAGCACTGAGATGACTCACAACAGAAGAATCCTCAGTTCACCTCCTTTAATCAGAGGATTTTAAGATGGACTTCAGTCAGCATAAAACCACATGACAGAAGCACCCTCTGGATTTGGGCAGAAAGGGACATTTATCTGTGTGCAAACCCAGAAGAAATTTAGGGATCTTTCATTACTTATTAGCATGAAGAAACGCCAGCATTTTAGGAAAGTGATTTCGACAAAGAGCACTGAAGGGGCACAGAAGCAAGACTTCAAAATATTAAGATAAATTCCATATATCCTCCATTTAGCAGGTGGTTTGAATACATGTCAATTAAATGGAAACTATATGGTATAGCATAGAGCTTATGGGTTTTACACAGCTCAGATGCTTTACTCAGCTGCTTCTGATTCAACTTGCAGTTCCCCATTTTTTATCTCCCTCAGAAATGCTCACAACAGTACTCCAGCCTTCTGTTTAAATCCTTTTCTAACAGAAGGCAACAGGGAAGACTTTGCTGTAAACATCAGCCTGAAAAATCCCCTTTTCCCATTCAGAAAAACCTAAGTTCATTCTCCACACCATGACATGTAAAAGCTGCTGAGCAGGAATTTCAGCTGGGAAGTGATCTTGGGATTGCAGTGAACTAAATGCTGCACCAAGTAAGAAGTTTTTAAAATACC